GTTTCAGTCTGGCTAACACCCCCAGTGGGTATCCTCACCCCATGAGGGTATGGCCATCCTGGGTGAGGGGCTGATTTCTGTTTGCAGGCTGTCCCTGGCCCCCAGCCACCCAACCTCCCAGTGGAGGCTGGCTGGAAGCAGGTATCTGGGATTTATTTGTCTTCTATAATTGAAACTTTGTTGCCATGAGCGGAGGCCTCAGAGCAGGCGGGAAGCTTGGCTTCCTCCATCGCTGGGGCAACCAAGCCTCCTGCTTGCTCCAGCTCCGTGGCTGGCAGCCGCCATCTTGGTTGGGTTAATTTGCATATAGTCACTCTGATTGGCTGGTGGGCATGGCTTAGGGCGTAGTGAAGGTACAGTCAATTTGCATCTTTTCTTTTATTATTGTAGATTATTATAGATTCTTACTCTCCAGTTTTGTAGAAATAAGAACAAAAGAGCCACAACTTCTGCAAAACACCCAGCAATTGCACTTCTGGGAATTTATACGAAGAAACCTAAAACACTAATCCAAAAGTATATATACACCCCTATGTTCATTATAGCATTATTTACAATAGCTAAGATCTGGAAACAACCCAAGTGCCCATCAGCAAATGAATAGGTAAAAAAGCTGTGGTACATTCACACAATAGAATACTACACAGCTGCAAAAAAGTAAGAACTCTTACCATTTGCAACAGCATGGATGGATCTGGAGAGTATCATGCTAAGTTAAATAAGCCAGTCAGAAAAAAGACAAGTGCCATATGATTTCACTCATATGTGGAATTTGATGAACAAAATGAACTAACAAGCAAAATAGAGACAGATTCATAGATAAAGAGAAGGCAGACAGCTCTGGTAGAGGGCAAGGTGTATTAGGGAGTGCAGGGATTGAACAAAATAGAAAAGAGGAAGAATTCATGGACATAGACAATAGTGTGATGATTGTGGCGGGGGTGGAGGTGGAAGAGAGTATACGGGGATAAATGGTGATGGAAAATAATAAATAAAGAAAAATTACAAATTCATGATGTGGCTGGATTCTGCATGTTTAATTGGCTACATCATATGGAGAGTCATGTAGGGAGTTTGGGACTAATCCAGTGGAAATTTGGGAAGAATATAAATCTATCAAAACAATATGGTATAATGGAAAGAATATGGACTTTGATAGCACCCAGGCTTAGATCCAAACCCTGATTCTTTTACTTAGATAACCTTCTAAAAATGTGCCTTATGTTTTACATCCTGCCCTATTCCAAAGACAATTTAAGGCATTACACAATATAGAAAAATATAAGTACTTAAAAATAGTAATAATTTATTTAATAAACAAATGTTTATTGAGTACTTACTGTGTGCTTGTCCCCATTCTAGGTATTGAGGATGTTAAAGTGAATAAGACATATAGGTATCAGGGCTTAGCTAACTATGGCCTCAAGTGATTATAAAAACTCAATAGAAAAATTATATATCATAACACATGAAAATTATATGAAATTCAAATTTCCATGTCCAAGGACATATGCTCCTTCATTTACATATTGCCTAGAGCTGTTTTTGCACTACAATAGCAGTATTGAGTAGTGGAGACTCTGTAGCCTGCAAAGCCTAAAATTCTAGAGTATAGGTAAGAAAAGTTAAGGCCAAGAAGGTGAAAAGGTATAATTGTAGGAAGATGGAAAGAATGGAATTAGTACACAAGATGTTTGTTGTGAAGCCTTATACACTTGCTTTAGCATTTGGCTCCAAACTTTCTTGAGAAAATAAAAAGGGGGGGGAACCCTTGATGGTTATATAATTCCAAGTTCTTAAGGTGACAACAAGCCACTTGTTCAAGTAAAGCACAACTCTTCTGCTTTTGAGAATAGAAAATGTTTCTAAGAAGCATTTTCGCCCATGGATGGTTGCATATAACAGCCTCAGCATGAGTTGATGACATTGTCTCAGGGCACAATTCAGTAAAAGACATTTTTGGGGGGATCCAATAAGATTTTCCCTAAGTAACTGACTCTGCATTCTCTAGCTCAACACACTGAAGCATCTGTATTATTATAGTTAAGTTATTTAACCCTTTTGCACCTAAGTTTCCATGCCTATAAATGAGAAAAACAGCTCACTCCACAGAATTATTACTAGGGTTAAAAATGAATAACAATATTCACAATATGTTATTATTTCCCTCCCTTTGCCCTTTCCCTCTGTAAGACTTGCCTCTTCTGGGAAGCAGCCAAGTAAGGCCAGACTTCTATGTAGACATCTGCTTCAATTTATAAGTCATATATTGACCTTCACATCAGTCTAGTAAAGAGTTGTGTAACTTAGCTTATGTTTATCACAGTAAAGTTTGTCTTGCCTGTCGCCAACCCTTAAGGTCAGCCAGATCCTATCTTCTCAGCACACACAGTAACTTAGCCCTCCCTATCAGTTCCGCCTCCACCATCTTCTGCTGCAAAGTTAAATCCCAGGGGCATTCCCCTCTTCCCCTTCCTCCACAGTCCTGCCCCACGCTGCTGGTGGTCACTGCTCTGATCTAATTGTTTCAGTTAATGAAAGTACTGACCTGACTGTCCAGTGTTAGCCAGACGATTTAAATTTCTACCACAGAATTGCCTGGCTTTGCTTGCTGCCTAAGGCTAGTGTGATGCAGCTTTTTTTCAAAGTTTCATGCCTCTAGCTTTGGTTACAGAAAGCATAATTGAGGCAGTAGTTCTAGCCTTGATCAAAAATTAATCAAACCTCCAGTGTTGCCTCTTTGAACCTTGCTCACTCCTACTTTCTACTTTCTCCCTTCCTACCATTTTGGCTCCCACTCCAGTGATAGATTCCAGGCATAAGTACGTATATCAATTAAACCAAAGCTGCAAAAAGCTCTCTGACTCTGAGCTATAAGGCAATAGCTTGAATGGCAGTGTCTGAGGGAGGGAGCTGTCATCTCAGCAGACCTACCTTGCAGTTGTCACTCTACTTCGCCTGTGTTGTTCAGAGCTTTGCCTATCATCCTGAGAGTCAGTGCACAGGCCTCATTGCTTTAGTGATCCAACTATGCCACTGTCCTGTCCCTTACCTTCGCCCCTTGCATTGATCCAATATTTGAATGGACTTGATAGTCTCCAAATTTTTTCTTAGCAATTAAAAATAGCAAAAACAAGGGGCATGCTAAATTGCTTTGTTCCATGCAAGTCAACTTCACAATAAGATCAATATTGTTTGCTGATGTAGTTTTGCCAAGGGTCCTTTTCTATTCCTGACATGGAACTGGATACTTTCTCTATTTCTGTTATATCTAATCATGTGATAGACTATGATGTAGGCTTTGTCTCCCCCCCCCCATTTCATAGATAGAGAAACCAAGGCTCAGAGAAGTGAAATAAGTTGCCCAGCCACCCAGTTTGTAAGATGTAGAGATAAGACTTGAACCCAGACTTCTTGAGTACCACATTATTTTTTTCTTTATTGATTAAGATATTATATATGTGTCCTTACCTGCCATTGCCCCCACCCTCCCACTTGTGCCCTCACCCCACTAATGTCTGTGTCCATTGGAGTACCACATTCTTATTTCTTAAGTGGCTATAGCTACCTTCCTGTTTCTGTTATCTAAGAACCATTCATTTGGGGGGAGCAAAATAATACAAGCCTAATTTCCTCCCTTCCTTTGATGTTACTACCTGTTACCAGGCCTGGCTTTGGAAAGGGTATTTGTGTAGCTACTACAGTGGGACTTGGGGCTTTCCTTTGGGGAATGGAAGGACAAGACATATTCTTGCATGTATTTGTTT